CGAAGTGAAGGTACCCACACCGGTACAGATACCGATTTTTTTAGAAAGGTACCCAGCCCTAACCTTACCAAGATTATTATTAAACTGTTATTATTTAGCACATTTAGATGTTATAGTGCAGCAGCGCGACGTGTGCGCGTGCCACATTCTATAAACAGCGATATTAGAACTGGATCAGATTGTGTCTCTTCCAACACAGATGTCGGTCACAGCACCTGGAATCTGACGTAGATTAACTACGAGATTAAAATATATTCCATCAGTCGTAGTTCTGAAAGCAGTGTATCCGCCGCCATGTTGATAGAAATATAGCATCTGTCCACGCGTGCGTGTGCGCATGTGGTTTAACACAAAGCCTCAGCGGGAGATGTTTACATTATCAGCGGGGGGTCAGCAAAAAACCTCCACTCTGTAAGGTGGGTTCAGAAACCTCCAGATTCAAAGAGGGGGGCCACTGGTGTCGTGTAAATGATCAGCAGATCCGCAGAGAGAAAGCTGCGGATGCACTCAAAATATGCACCGTGTAAACAGCCCCTCAGTTTTCACAGACGCGTCCCTGTCAGGCAGGGGAGGAACGTGCCTGTCACGAGCGGTGGGGGCGCTGTGGCCAGCTCACACATCAGTTCACATAAACGTTTTGGAATGTTGCACAGTTTTGAATGTGATTCAACATTTTGCTCCTGTGTTACAGAATCAGCACGTTCTGATCCACACAGACAACAAGGTGACTGCTGCTTACATAAACTGGCAGGGGAGAGTGCGCTCAGCCCAGATGTTACACATTGCGAGACAGCTGCTGTGTTGGGCACACAAAAACCTGCTCTCCATCAGAGCAGCGTACATCCCCCGTGTCCTGAACAGAAGAGCGGACATAATGTCCAGGGGTGGTCCACGCCACGGGGACTGGAGTCTCCATCTCGAGCTGATTTCTCGGATTTGGGAGAAATTTGGCAGAGCAGAAGTGGACCTATTTGCCACACAGGAGAACGCCCAGTGCCAACTATGTTTCTCACTGAGCCCACGGGACGAACCACTATTAGGAGTGGATGCAATTGCCCACAGTCCGTGGCCCAAAATGCTCCTTTACGCTTTTCCTCCAGTCCCTCCAATATCACGGTTTCTGAACCAAGTTCAGGAGGAAGAACTGTCTGCCATTCTGATGGCCCCTGAGCGCATGAGCGCCCCGTGGTTTCCAATCCAGCGACGCCTGTTATCGGGTCGTCCGTGGAAACTGCCGTGGAGGGACGATGCTCTCCTCCAGGAGGGAGGAGCGATCAGGAGTTACCCAGAAATAGGCCAGCATCTTTGGGTCTGGCCACTGAGCGGATCCACTTAGAGAAGATGGGTCTCTCTCAAGAAGAAGTGCACACAATCCAAGATTAACGCGCTGCCTCCACCACAGCGCTGTACATATCAAAGTGGACAGCTTTTCAACGCTGGTGTACGGAAAAAGGTGTAGAGGCCATCTTATGTCCACTAGGTGGCGTGCAGTCCTTTCTGCAGCAGTTGATGGACAGAAATCTGGTGTTCAGCACAATTAAAACGTATGCTGCAGCCATCTCTTTCTGTCACGAAGGCTTCGGTGGCAGAACAGTTTTTAATCACCCGCTGATGAAGCGTTTTCTGAAAGGTGTTCGGAGACACAGACCGGTGTCACGTCCACTAGCTCCTCAGTGGGACTTAACAATGGTTTTGCAAGCCCTGATCAAAGCTCCTTTCGAGCAGTTAGATCAGGTTTCGATTAAATTCTTGTCACTTAAAACAGCCCTGCTGTTGGCTTTGACATCTGCAAAGAGCGTAAGTGATTCATCTGCCCTCTCTGTTGCTCCGTCATGCCTCAGGATTCAGGCTGATGGCAGTTCAGCTGATCTGAGACCTAACCCAGCGTTCATGCCTAAAAACATCACTAGCTCATTTAAATTGAGAATGATAACGTTGGAGGGTTTTTTCCCTCCTCCCCACAAATCAGAAGAAGAAACATTTTTTTTATCTCCTCTACCTTGTGCGTGCGTTGGCATTTTACGCAGCATGCACGGCCACACTGCGTCAGACTCAACAATTGTTTGTGCATTATAGTGATGCCTCTGCAGGTCGCCCATTACCCACCCAGCGCCTGTCACACTGGCTGTGTGAGGCCATTTCTGAAGCTTACAGAGCATCAGGTTTAGAGCCCCCTGACAACCTCAGGGCGCACTCGACCAGAGGAATCGCATCCTCGACAGCCTTGCATAATGGTATGACAATGCAGGATTTTTGCACTGTGGCCACGTGGTCATCGCCCTGCTCATTTATTTGCTTCTATCTGCGTGATGTGTCGGCTCACTCCATGACACATTCTGTCCTCGGTACCTTAACAGAATGAATCTCATTGTTTTTCATGGAACTTTGTTTAAATTCACATCTGACTGCATGCAATGACAGTGTGAGATATTTGTTATCAGTCACAAGTTCGTGACTGTTGGTTCTTGTTCTAATGTCACTAATCAGTTCATGACTACTGTTACCAATCAGTTCATTTGATTACTAATCAGTTCATTTATTATGAATCTGTTCACTGTTTTTCAGCCTCTCCCCTTTTCCCATCGAGAACTTTTCTATCCCATGTACATGGAATGCGTAAATTACGCAGCGCACGTCTATACATGGTGCGCGTAATTACGCAGCGCGTATTTACGTACATGGAGGGCTGAGTGATAAAATGTTTTTTGGTGTAAGCGGGCGCTTCATACGGTGTGCAAATGGACCCAGTGAGGCAGAGACTACATCCTGCTTCACCCTTAACCCACTAAGCGACAGCCTTAAAGGGCCAAGCCTATACGAAATAGAACGTTGGTTACATACTGTAACCCCAGATTCTATGAGTATAGGCGTAGCCATTTAAGCTCTGGGCCTCACTGGCTCCTAAATGGCTGAAGAAAAAGCTATTTGGGAGCCGATTACCCGCTCTCAACGTAATTGATACGGACCGGGTGGGGCCCACACGACAGGTGGGCGTGGACTAAATTTTTCAGTGCAACGCTTTGCATGACAGGATAAAACCCACAAGTGACAGCCTTAAAGGGCTACGCCTATACTCATAGAATCTGGGGTTACAGTACGTAAACAACGTTTCGTTCCACCACATGTGATGTGAATGACAATTAAGACACCTTGACCTTGAAAAGCTGAACTTGAGATGACCATCCATACTTTTATTTCTTGTCTATTGTGACAGATTATTTACATGTTTAAACAAGAAAAGGCTCGCCCATTTTCAGGTTGTTCAGAACTTTCCTTCAAAACTGTTAATCAATATGAACAAGTTCACATCACGTCGGTTTAGTTTCATTTTAAAATTCTAGTTTTAACTTTCCGAGCTGTGCATGAACAAGCGCCTTCTTACATCTCTGACTTGGTTCAGATTCACCCACCAGCTTGCAGGTTAAGGTCACTAACTAGGTCAGAGGTTGTTGGCAGTGTTCTCAGCATGTCATTAAAACAAAACTCCATGAGTTTTCCCTGATTTTTCCTAAAGTAAAAACTGAAAATTCAAGAGATCTTTCAGTCACAATGTGATGAAGTGAAGATTCAACACAATCTGCTGCTTCTTTATAGAGAACTTTTAATAACTGGCTTTTACAATGTATATGAACGTTTCTGTACAGCGTACTGAGATAACGTCTGTTGTGACTTGGTGCTATATACGTAAATAAAGTGAACTGAATTGAATTATGGAATGCACCGCCCTTATTTTTAAAGTAACTTAAATTCAACTGATGCATTTAAAAATGAATCTAAAGACGTTTATTTTTCAACAGGCAGTTAGATGTAGGGCTTCAATATTTTGCTGTGTTCTACATCCTATTTTACTCGTGGCGTTTTTTATGATTTTATGTACATATAGATGTTTATATGTATATATGATTTTATCTTTCCAGCTATTGTTTACCAGGGTTGTGGGGGTCACTGGTGCCCACATCCAGCAGTCACTGTGCGAGAGGCGATAGACATCCTGGACTGGTCACAAGTCCATAAAGACAAACAATGATTCACACTTTCACCTGCATCTAGGGACAATTCAGAGTTACCATTTAAATGGTCAGTGGGAGGAAACCCTTGGCACACTGAGAGAACATGCAAACTCCACACAAAAAGGTCCCCGGCTGGGATTCTGACAACTTTCTCATGGAGATGTCCTTCCTGAGCATTGACAGACCACCCAAGCTGCCACAGCCCTCTGTGTGGTGCAGGGAACTGCCATCCAGGGTGCCCGGGGGAGCAGATGGTGGGGGTTAAGGGCCTTGCTCAAGGGCCCAGAATGGAGCAAATGAGGATGGCGACAGGTATGGTTGTTCCACCTTTAACACTCACCTTTTGATGTTGTCGGTCCAGGGAGTTGAACCGGCAACCTTCTGATCACGGAGCGCCTTCTCTTGCCTTTGCACCACCACTCCCCCCATAATTTCTATCCTTAATGTAGCTTTCTCCAACTTTAAACTAGCATTTTACTCATTTTAGCTTTTAGGTAACATTTAGCTCCTTTTAGCAATGGATCTGTTTATCATTCGTCCCGGTGTGGTTTCCCGACCTGGACTTGTCTCCTGTCTCCTGCAGATGTCAGAACAGCTGGGATGGTGGGTTCAAGGCACTCCTGTGAGAACAGGAACTTTGTTGCACAATTTGACTGAACACGTTCACACTTCAAGCGACAAATAACGCGACTTGTGCGAGGAAATTGTAAACCTGCGCCAACATTTTAGAGACCCCAGCTGCCTGTCGTCAACTAGTCTCAAACAGTCGCAACCCAGCGAGACAATGAATATACAGAAACTCACACAATATCGGCGTTTCTCTGCCGTTTGTCAGCGAAGAAGACAAGTGGTGTAGAGCACAAAAAAGTACCCCAAACAATCACAGCCAGTGGCTCCCAACTCTTTTCACCCGCAAGTAACCGACCAACAATGGCTCAAATAAACAAGCATCATCATATTAAACACAGCAAACTCTTGACACAACCTTACCTTTAATAACATTACTAAAAATTGTAGCTCTGAATTCCTCTTTGGTCCTCTGATCGAAGTCCTGCCCATGAATAATGCGCATCTGTTTGAGGAAAGTGGACTTGCCGCTCTCGCCCGCTCCGAGTAGTAAGATCTTTACGAGCCTTTTCACATAAAACTTGTCTCGACGAAGACACTTATCTATCTCCTTCGACTTCCGCAGCTGCTCCACCTCGCCGCTTGTGAGGACACAGCTAGGAAAACATACAGATAAAATGGAGCTGGAAGGCAGGAAGTCCGCCATCTTTGAAACAACTTCATCGATACAGTCAGCGAGAGCTCGCCCAGACTACTGCTGCCTTCATGTGTCGTGGGAATCCGCAGGTGGGGCGAGTTTGACCCGTTTTACTGCTGCTTTCGTTAAAATGTGCAGCACCATTTCCACGAAATAAAAGAAAAGCCGAACCTTACACTATGTTGATAAAAATAATAGTTAATCTCAAGGTTACCTTAACAAATGTCGTGTAAAAAAGTAGAACTTTGAATTTAACATTTTTTTAATATGTGGATAAATTTAATCCTGATAGGTGTGATTTCCAGCAACATTTAAACAATGTATTTTTGGTAAATTGTTATAAACCTATGTTTCGCACTATCATATTACTACAAAATCGCGTCAGTCATGTGACATCAACTTTTTATGACACGAGAACATTGTTAGTCTTAAAAAATTAAACGAGCTAACCGTGAACGCAGCATGAATCGGAGGAGCCGCCTGATGAGCGCGCGCCAGCGTCAATGTTTGGGTGGGTCAGATTTTTCTGCAGCATCATCTCTGAGCGCGGATCGCTGGCATTTGATAAAACGTGTGATTTAAATTCAGACGTTTTTATTTTTATGTTTGTATTGTCTGCTAGTGAAAACCAGACAAAATGTTTTTTGTGTCTTTGGTGTGTTAGTTAGTCCGTCTGTTAGCAAAATATCCCATGAACCACAAACCAAAATTATACAAAACTGTCAGAAAGTAATCACTGGAAAAACATATACAGTACAACTGATTAACTTTTGGAGTCATTCCAATTCAATATGGCCGCCACATCTAATCTTCTGAAGCCAACTTAAAATAGCTAACACATGCAGTTTTACAGATATTTAGATAAAATCTGGTGTGGTAGTAGCTGAAAGTCATCTCCAACACATACTATGAGTTCTGCAGCATTGTTGCTTAAAACTTTGGCGTCAGCCTTGAATCATGTTCTGTGCTTTGTGTTGAACCCAAGGTACAGACAGAAGCAGTGAACTCAAGGATAAAATAAAGAATATATATTTCTTAAACAAACTCAAAGCAAAAGCTGACATTTTTTAACAGCAAAACTTAACTCGCAGAATCAAGGGAGACACGGGGGGAAACAGAGCATGAATGCCTTGGGAGGTCAATCCCCAGACCGGGAAGAAAACTGACAGAATTTACAGAGGACACAAACAGGAGGAGTCCACGGGAAGGTGTGGCTGGTGGACAATTGACACTTGTTTGAGGTTTGTCGAGACTTTGTTGGGAGAAAGAAGGCGGTAAGGCACGGCTGAGCTGTGAATGGTTGGAAGGATGTCAGAGGGAAATGATTTATCAGGAAGTGATTTGGCAGAAATGGAAGAGGGAGCGGATGGTGTTGAAAATGAAGGGATATGGCAGACCCATAAATCTAAACACAAACGGAAAAAAGCAAAACATCATGTAGAGTCGTCAGTTTCAGAAGCTGAAGATGAATTAGTGAAGGTGATTGAGTTTAAAATCATCTTAAAGTTTGTTAAAGAAGGAATGTCATTTGGTACGTTAAACCCGATTAAGCTTACTAAAGAAATCAACTCGCTAATTGGAAAAGTGAAACTTGTAAAAGTGCTTAGAGATGGATCTGTATTGATCATATGTAATGATGTTAAACAAAAAGATAGAGCACTACGTGTAAGAAAAATCCTAGGTGAAAACGTGAGTGGAAAATTAATTGATGACAAAAAATATGTGCGTGGCGTTAT